TTGAAAATTGCCTAGACCAGGGGTTTTCAAAGTGTGGGAAGGTGAGCCTCCCCTCAGAGAACATAAGAACAGCCGCGCCCCCCCTCCCAATTATTATTGCTATTATTATTATTATTGTTGTTGTTGCTATAATGCAGGGGTATTATTATCCAGTGGAATGTCCTTACCTACTGGTCTAGTTAAATCAAAGTGGTTACTTTCTTTTGGCTGGGCAGTGTAGTTTTACACACCGTCTTATTTGACTTTCTCAGGATTTAAAACTTTTTTTTGGGGGCAGACCCCCACAAAGAAAAAAATATATTTACACACGTAAGGTCATCATCTTAACAGTTTGTTATGCTCATCGAGTCATCCGTGAGCAGAGCATCAAGTTGGCATGCCTATAAGTTAACAGCTGAATGCGGCGATTACCATCTTGTTCAGCAAAACGCCTCACAAACTTATTAAGATCTAAAGCTTTAGTGCGTTTTGGTTCAATGCTGAGTACAGCCAAACTTCACAGTCTCTTCTCTGTCATTGTAGATACCTCATTCCTTCAGTACTTGGGTCCGAATGCGCCGTCCCGTTCAAATGAAATCGCCGCCAATCACATTTCCTCGCTCGCGCCAGGGCCGGGGGAGGGGTTACAAGGCTCGAGTGACATTAGGGATTTTCTCTCAAAAATGTCCGATGAGCCACAACTTTTATTTCAAAACAAAGCTGACGTTTTCTGCCAGACGCTGTCTCCTCTTTCACTTTAGGTAACTTCACTAAAAATCGATCCATGTTGCCGCTCGCATAAAGTTAGCTGAAGTTAACTAGCTAGATTTCACTGTTTCTCGTTATTGTTTTCTCACGCTGCGCCTCCCCTGAAGCTCTCTGGCGCGCCTCACACTTTGAAAACCGCTGGCCTAGACAAACGGTCTGCAGAGGTCTAGATGTGAAGAGAAGCCAGTTTGACGAAGAACATTTTGCTTGCTTTAAAACTTGCCTAGGCAAACCACTGAACTTCAACATACTCCGAGAGGCTCAGAGAGGAGCAGCAGGAGGCTGGTGCCTCCCTGGGCAGCTCCCAGTGTCACTGTAGTCAGGCTGGAGCTGAAACAGCACAAAAGGCAATTTTCCCAGGAGACATGAGGGTGAAATAACATAAACTGTGGTGACGTGCAGTGTCATACCAGTTTACTGCTGTAGCTCTTATCTGAGGTGGAAAACTCACAACAGAGGTCAATTATCCACACCTTTGTAGCAACGAGTGTGTACAAAATCTAGACATGTTCTGTGTGGGAAAACAGAATGTCAACCAAGGTGGGAAGTAACTAAGTACATTTACTCAAATACTCTACTTAAGTACAATTTTACTTGTACTTTACTTAAGTTTTTCCATTTAGTGCTACTTTGTACTTCTACTCCACTTCAGTTCAGAGGTAAATGGTGTACTTTTACTCCAATACATGTATTTAATACCTTTAGTTACTTTACAGATCTGGATGAATGATGTGAATAATAAATCAACTCTTAAATCAGACTTTAGTTCCACCTGGAGTAAATGCACAAGCTACCCTGCAGTATACAAAGTCCTTCAAACTAGCTGCACCTTTACCAGCTTTGAGAACACTTTCATGATCAATCATTATAATCAAAATATATCATACAGTGAAGGAAATAAGTATTTGATCCCTTGCCGATTTTTTAAGTTTACCCACTTACAAAGAAATGAACAGTCTATAATTTTAATGGTCAAATTATTTGAATAATGAGAGACAGAATATCAAAAGGAATATCCAGACAAGTACATAATTTAAGAGATATAAATTGATTTGTATTTAATTGTGGGAAATAAGTATTTGATCCCCTTGACACCAACAAGGATTCTGGCTCCCACAGACCGGTTACATAAGTCCATTTCCTTTAGGAAAGTACTCCTAACATCAACTAGTTACCTGTATAAAAGACACCTGTCCACAGAATCAATCAATCAGATTCCAACCTCTCCACCATGGGCAAGACTAAAGAGCTGTCTAAGGACCTCAGGGACCAGACTGTAGACCTCCACAAGGCTGGGACTGGCTACAAGACCACCAGAAAGCAGCTTGGTGAGGAGGAGACAACTGTTGGTGCCATTATTCAGAAATGGAAGAAAGACAAAATGAGCATCAGTCGCCCTCGGTCTGGGGCTCCACACAAGCTCTGGCCCCGTGGGGTATTGGTGATCATGAGAAAGGTGAGGGATCAGCCCAGAACTACACAGGAGGAACTTGTTAATGATCTCAAGGCAGCTGGGACCACAGTCACCTAGAAAACTATTGGTAACACACTACACCATAATGGATCAAATCCTGCAGCGCCTGAAGGCCCCCTGCTCAAGAAGAACATGAAAGGGCCGTCTGAAGTTTGACAACGAACCTCTGAAGGATTCAGAGAAGGCTTGGGAGAAGAGGATGTGGTCAGATGAGACCAACATCGAGATCTTTGGCATCAACTGGACACGCCGTGTTTGGAGGAAGAGAGATGCTGACTATAACCCAGTGTTTCTCAAAGTGGGGGGCTTTGGTTCGAAAATAATATGATACAGTACAGTACAAATACGTCTGGGTCTCTGTATTTCATTAAAGCTCGGCTCTGTGTGTGTGTGTAACGAGCCATTTTGTGTGCGTGCGCAAGCGAGAGAGAGAGAGAGAGCACCGGTACCGGAGATCGTTGTTGTTAGCTTCTGGTGCTAGCGAGCTAGTGGCCGGGTCTCAAACGTTTTGGTCACCATTAATGTAAACAATTATTTCCGAGGCACACGTTTATATGATCATTATAGTTATAAAAAAATAAGAGAATAAATGAAAAACAGGTATGAAATACTATATGACAGTAAAACAAGAATAAAGTTTAAAAGGGGAGTGATTTGTAAAATATCCATAAAGAAAAAGTAAATCTGTTTACAGTTCTGTTTCATATGGGTGTTGAGAGAGGTATCCATAGATCTCTTCATTTTGCCCTCAAAGTGAACCAGATTGATGCTTTTAACTTCAATATTTAAAAAATAATCTTCCTGGGGGAGCATGCCCCCGGACCCCCCTATGTTAGGTCCACTCCCCACTTATAAAAATAGCACTTTACCCCTGCTTACACCTATATGCTGTGAGCGGATTATCGAGCCTTCATTGTAACAGTCGTGGGTACACTGTGTATTTTGCGTGGGGATTGTTGCAGTAGAAAGTTCCTCTGTAGCGCCCGGTACATTAATGGGAAACCCTACATGTTTGAGCACCCTCTATGAAACGTCAAGCTACCCCACAGCACCCCCAAAAGAAATCTCTGGCGCCGCCACTGAGCCTGCAACCCCGTTTTGAAGAAATGTGCAGTGCCAAACAGGCTCATTGCAGCCACTGATGCTGTGCTAAGACACACTTTGCCAAATATCAGCATTTTCTTTCTTTTCATTTTTTTGCACAGATTGCAAAGTGGCAAAGTATTATAACTTATTGTTCTAGCAAAGGGATTGCACAATTGTATTATGTATTTTTTTTTTCTGACCACACAGACTTATGGAGCATTGTTTTATTATCACTGTTCTAGCAAAGTGTTTTTTTCTTCTTTTTTTTGAAAGGAATGCTCACGTTCATATTGATGTATTGTAATAAATGTTAACTTGGCCCATTACGTGACTATTTGTGTTGGGGGGGCCCGACTTTTTTTTTTCTCCAAAGGGGGGGTCTGACAGATAAAGTTTGAGAACCACTGCTATAACCCCAGAACACCATCCCCCCACCGTCAGGCATGGAGGTGGAAACATTCTGCTTTGGGGGTGTTTCTCTGCTAAGGGGACAGGACCACTTCCCTGCTTCGAGGAGAGGGTGTACGGGGACATGTACCGTAACATCTTGGCCGATAGCCTCCTTCCCTCAGCCAGGACACTGAAAATGGGTCATGGAGGGGTCTTCCAGCAGGACAATGACCCTGAACATACGGCCAAGGCAACACAGGAGTGTCTAAAGAAGAAGCACATATCGGTGATGGAGGGGCCTAGCCAGTCTCCGGACCTTAATCCCATAGAACATCTGTGGAGGGAGCTGAAGCTTCCAGAGGCCAAGCATCAGCCTCAAAACCTGAAGGATTTGGAGAGGGTCTTCAGAGAGGAGTGGACCAACATCCTTCCTGAGATGTGCACAAACCTGGAAACCAGCTACAAGAAGCGTCTGACCTCTGTGTGTCCAACTAGGGTTTCTCCACCAAGAACTAACACATGTTCTGCAAGGGGATCAAATACTTTAGTTTGTGACTCTTACAACCTCAGATCCAGTGCCTGGATACGGTTCCAGGTTCCTACTGTACGGACTGAGGCTGGAAAAAGGAGTCTTTCTTATTATGGTCCTTGGTCTTGGAATGACCTTCAATCACGCCTTAAACTGAGGGCACTTGTCTCTATATCATGTTTTAAATTGAAGTTGTCGGAAGTCCTCACCACCAGCTGCTCTTGCAGTAACAAGTAGTGTACTTTTTTTATTGTCCTAATGTGCACAATGTAGTGACTGCTTTTTCGTCTTTTGTCCTTTGTTATGTTCTCTGTATTTTATATGTTTGTGTTATGTGTTATGTGTAACGTTGCTGCCTTCTTGGCCAGGTCAGCATTGAAAATGAGATGTTATCTCAATGTTTTTATCTGGTTAAATAAAGGTTAAATAAAAAAAAAAAAAACTTATTTCCTCCACTTATTATTCTGAAATGGACCAATCTGCGCAATGAGTACTTTTCTACTTTTGCTACTTTAAGTATATTTTATCGCCAATACTTTTGTACTTTAACTTGAGTAACATTTTGAATGCAGGACTTTTTCTTTTAACAGAGTATTCCTACACTCTGGTACAGATTTAGTAGGCCTACTTCTCCCACCTCTGTGTCAACTACTGAAATTAGGGGGGGGGGACATTTGTGTCAGAGAGTATGCTAGTGAAAGCAGAGTGTGTTGGTTGCATGCAACAGAGGTGTTAGTGCTTCAAAACAAGGAAGTTGAGAGTGTTTCTAAATACCTGGATGACTGAATGGCAAAGTCCCCCCCATCAATCAGCCGGATCTTGCAGAAAAGCACTCCATTGACAAAAGGCACCGCTGTTAGCTCCTCCAATGTAAAGTGCACTTGAAATTTGAACTTCTTCTTTCTTGTCAAAAAAGACATTGTTCCCAGCTGGAGTGTGCTCGTGGTATGATGAACACCAATGGAAGAGTTAGGAACAAATAAATATAGTGAACGTGGCTTTAAAGTAAGGGCTGGAAATCCCTCTTTGCTTCAAGGTCAGTCATCTCTGGAAACATGTTCAGACCTGGAATGGGAAATAAAAACACTTGTTAGAGTTATACAAGCAGCTGAATGCAGCTCCATTGGGAACTTCGTGTTACGGTTTCTGCAGCAATGACAGATGTGGACATTAAATGTACCGTGGATGTTTCTATCCCACATAGTAGATTTAAGAAAACACATCCTACGTAATGCTTTAGTTTGATTTATGAATGTAAGGTTTTTCAACAGTTTGAAACTCTTTCTGTGTTTCCTCCAGCAGTAACAGTGTATCGCGGTGCAGACAGCTGCCACGCGAACACGCAGTGCCGGGGCGGCTCTCCGCGGGCTGAGTGCCGGGGAAACTTCTCTGACTCACCGCTCCGTCTGTCCGGTGCTCCGCATTCTGGTTTTGGCTGTGTACCGTTGGCGGGGTTTTTGGCCCTTTCATCGGTTTCAGTGCATCTTCCACAACTTTCCCTCCCCGGTAGAGAGTTCAACAGTCAAGACAGTGAGCGCGGCTGTAAAACAACTCAGAGTTAGGGACCGTCCACAAAGTGTGTGCAGAGGTGCAGAGAGTGCATAGCTGAAAATGGAGGCAGTGGTGGAATGTAGGGAAGTACATTTAGGCTACTTAAAGCGCAACTTGCAGGTTTTTTTTTTTACTACATTTATGCTTAACCCAGGGTTGCCAACTTTGGGTACCTGGCTGGAGTGAGATTTTGATATCATGGGTTTAATTACACATATGCGCACTAAATGACTGCTATCGTGTCAGTAGCGGGACCTTAGCATATATATATGATATACAAAATATACAAATACACAATATTGGACACAGACTATAAAGGGCACAAAGTTTCATTCACTAATGAAAGTCAAACACATGTTTGTTTCCACTGTTTTATTGTGTGCATAGGCCAGCAATTAATTGACTTATCGTACAATAAATAAAAATGAACTCGATAACTTTTCTGACCTCGATAAATGTCCATTTACATGAGGATGTGACTAGCAGTTTGAAAGGATGTACTTGAATTATTATTATATATTATCATTATGTCAGTGGTCTAAAATGGTCATACAACGGTGCCGACAATATTATCGTTTATCTCAATAATTTCCGGGAAAATGTATCCAACAAAATTAATTATCGTGAGAGGCCTATACATGAAACACACAGACACAAACAAATCTACAGACTTACTCCAAACTGCCAAATATATTAATTAACGCACTCTCACTCTCATATACTCTTTGACTCTATTTTGGCCTAGTAGAACAATAAGCAGCAGACTTTTACTTTTTATCATTTCTACTGGATCTTAGATCTGCGCATGCGCAATACGGGTCGGGGATTGACCAACCGGCTCCCACTGCTCTGCTGTCTGTTAACGTTGTTAAGAGTGGTGGGGGCGGGGAGGGAGCAGATCAACAGCTTGAGCAGCTGTCAACTCAACATTGTAAATAACCAACCAAAAACGATCGCCGGTTCATCTTGTTTTGGCGTGAGAATAGTTTGGGCAGCGTGAGAGCGTGAGATTGAGAGTGAAAGCGTGTGTCACACGCCAGATGCGTGACAGTTGGCAACCCTGGCTTAACCTTGCCTGAAAATTACAATTAAAAAAGTTAATGCAAGATTTGATATGTTTTACAAGACATAAGGGCAGGAATTCAGAGGGAAAGGAGCCGTTTTGAGCTCTGCTACTAAAAACTGCTTTTTTTTAACGTCATACGTCAAACGCGTCATATTACGTCACATGGGAGAGCAACTTTCTCTGACTCCTTCTCTGCCCAATCCGCGGTAGTAGTTTGTAGTTGGTTTGAGCGGTTGTGATTTAGTGAGCTGGTATTATTCCCAGGGATGCAAACTTGTCACCTTTCGGCGAAATTCGCCGTTTTGATTCCAAAATAGGTCGTTTGTGTGATTCATGTAGATCTGCAATAAAAATATTTTTGGGGTATGGGGGGGGTCTGGGACCCGGAGTAATCTGCGGCCGCGAGCTGTTATGTGCCATCATGACACGCATGGTGTTCTTTTTTTATATGTTATAATGAAGCGCGAGCACAAGTCTTCCTGCCTGTCAGCTCTGCTCATGGATGTATAATAAGGCTCTGCTGCTCCGGGATGAGGGTCTAGCTTCAGCAGCTACATTACCTACGGTGCGTTCGTTAATATTAACTGTGCGGTCCAGAGTCACTGTGGCACAGACTGGACCGCTGGTTAGAACGGGGTGTTCGGAGCAGCAGAGCGTGATGTGCACTGAAAAGTGTTTCTGTCGCAATATTATTTAATGAATCGTTGAGCTAGCTAACTAGCATACATTGTCACTATCTGCTAACGTTAGCTTTAGCCTTCGTTTTCAAATAGTTTCTTTCATAGCCTATAAACGGAGGTGGTATAAGTATCTTGTACTTGAGTAAAAGTAGAAGTACTCAGGTCTTGTACTTGAGTACAAGTAGAAGTACTCAGATCTTGTTCTTGAGTAAAAGTAGAAGTACTCAGATCTTGTACTTGAGTAAAAGTAGAAGTACCAGAGTGTAGGAATACTCTGTTACAGTAAAAGTCCTGCATTCAAAATGTTCCTCAAGTAAAAGTAGAAAAGTATTATCATCAAAATATAGTTAAAGTAGCAACAGCAAAAGTAGTCATTGTGCAGATTGGTCCATTTCAGAATAATATATATGATATATTTTATAATGATTGATCATGAAAGTGTTCTCAAAGCTGGTAAAGGTGCAGCTAGTTTGAATGACTTTGTATACTGCAGGGTAGCTTGTGAATTTACTCCAGGTGGAACTAAAGTCTGATTTAACACTTGATTATATTTCACATCATTCATCCACATCTGTGAAGTAACTAAAGGTATTCAATACATGTAGTAGAGTAAAAGTACACCATTTACCTCTGAACTGTAGAGGAGAAGAAGAACAAAGTAGCAAAACATTGAAATACTTAAATAAAGTACAAGTATCTAAAAATTGTACCCAAGTATAGTACTTGAGTTTATGAACTTAGTTACTTTACACCACTGGCTATAAAGATAGAAAGACAGCCTTGCACAGAGGCATGAAAATACATTTTCAAAATGCTCAACTGTCCTGCCAAAATTATAAACTGACTGCTACACAATTAAATTAAATGCTTAAATATATTTCTATTAGATGTGACTCTTTGGCGTTTCTGTTATTATTAACTGCTGCTTTAGTTGTTCTGACTGCTAAAATCCTCTGTTATTCCTCATTTTAAAGCCGATATTCCGTGGGGTCGGGGGGCTCGGATCCTTGTCACCTTTTTCATACCTGATGAGTTTGCATCCCTGTATTCCGGTAATTTTACATTGCATTTCACTATTTTTAATCATGGTGAGCTTGAGTTTGTGCAGGTTGCACAAACTCGAGCCTGTCAGTGTCAGGACATCGAGTCCACAGTTTCCCTAACAGGAAAAGTACCGGAGCTAGCTTTCGTTCCTGGGTGCGTTGTGCGAGGTGCATCCACCTCCCTGCAGCACATACTCTCAGCCAACACAGTCTCACGGCATTTCGTGTTATAGTCACGAAATTAATCTATTGATTCGTGTTCACCAACACGATTTTCCCATTTTTTTCGTGTCACACAGAACGATTTTAAAAGCAATGTAAATAATAACAAATTAGAAGGAAAAACAGATTAAAAAAAATACAGATTTCAGTATTCTGACACAGAACGATTTTAGAAGCAATGTATTTATATTGGTAGTATGTTTCGTGCCTGCACCAAATAATAACAAATTAGAAGGAAAAAAAGATGACAAAAAATACAGATTTCAGTATTCTGAGGCTCTGAGTCATTTCTTTTCCTCGCGGACGGCAAAAAAACTCAGACATTATACAATTTAAAATAAAAGGGATAAGGTTAGGCTTAGGGTAAGATATTGAGTAAGAAAATGTGTTTATGAACCACACAGCTTCCGGTCTTCCAAAACCCGACCGGACAAAAAGACGTGGTGCAGGCACGAAACATACTACCAATAGAAATACATTGCTTTTAAAATCGTTCTGTGTGACACGAAAAAAATGCGAAAATCGTGTTGGTGAACACGAATCAATAGATTAAATTAATTTCGTGACTATAACACGAAATGGCGTGAGACTGGGTTGTCTCAGCACATACTCTCCACAGCTGAAGCCTATCAAACAAAACGTTTATCAGGAAACCGTATTACATCTCTCTCCCCCCCTTCGCTCCTCTCTTTCCCCCCCTTCGCTCCTCTCTCTCTCCCCTCCGGTACACAGCACCGTAAAATACGTAGTGTGGAGTTGCATTAGGTAACGCGAGATACGGCTGATACTTGCGCATTAGTTTCTGTTAGGGATCAGTATCAACAGTCCTGCCAGTAACGTTACTATATTATCAATATTACTTTAGTTATAGCCTATATATGATAGCTAACTTTACAATGTTGTGATGTGACTGACGTTAGCTAACATTAACTGTCTGTAGCTAACGCCGGTCACTCACCAAGACAGCTGCCCTGTTCTCCACTGGTTCTCCTAACACCACAGCTCCATTTCTCGCCGATGGCCGTTATTTCTTCTAATCCTTGGCTGTTCCTGGTCTCTTGGACGCCTAGCAGGCTCATAATTATAATTATATGCATTTGAATATATATTTTCAACCTCTTCTGTGTCAAAACTTGCATTGTGAACCATGTTTATTAATACATTAGACCGGCCGCTCTCCCCCATGTGACGTCACACGCGGGAGGTCACATGGGGAGGCTTTTTTTATGCGGAAGTAAAAATGTCTTACAAAAACGACGCCAGATGTACACTGTAGCAGAGGTGTGGACTCGAGTCACATGACTTGGACTCGAGTCAGACTCGAGTCACCAATTTGATGACTTTGGACTCGACTTGACAAAATCACAAAACACTTGCGACTCGACTTGGACTTGAACACCAATGACTCGGGACTTGACTTGGACTTGAGCCTTCTGACTTGAGGTGACTTGATAATTTAATTCAGGGGTCTCCAACACGCCGATCGCGAGATGCCGCTAGAAGAGCAGACTCCCGTCGGGGAGAGCAGAATCTTCAGCCGCTGCAACTCTTGCTGAGAATCCATGCAGGCAGGGGCGGGACTTTATTTTGCTGAGCCACCATGCGGCCAATCATATGCGAGGACACACTAGGATCATACCATTATGTGAAAGAAGGGTGGGGGGCAGACGCTCCAAAGACAGCAGGTGTAGTGGTACAGGCCAGCTACAGAGCCACGGGGAGACGGGGAGCCGGATTTAAATGCAAGCGCGTTGGGAAAAGTCAAGAAATTTGCGAAAACCGAAAAAAGAAGCAGCATCTGGCTGCATTTCAATGATATTGGAGAAAGCAAAGCTGAGTGCAGGATTTGTAAAATGAAAATAACCTTCAGAGCAGGGTTTTTTTTTTGGTAACCACTCAGGATTTATTGTCAGAGGTGGGAGAAGTTCAGATCTTGTACTTGAGTAACAGTACCAGAGTGTAGGAATACTCGGTTACAATAAAAAGTCCTGCATTCAAAATGTTACAAGTAAAAGTAC